TAAAATTAGTAATTTGATCATGAAACCTTTTATTAACATTCTAGACAAAATAGTCAAGAGGTCAATGATGTAAATGATATTAACATTAAACATTTCAATTAGATACATTGATCAGTGATAAGGTGAATTGTATTTGATTACTAAATATAAAATGATTTGTATGAAATCAACATTCATCATTATATAACTATATTAATGACCTGTAAACATTAAGCAAGATATGAAAGAAAAAACTATCTAATTATAGCTTACCTATGACGTAAACATTGGTACAACGAGGTACCGAATAGATATACGCTACATAAATCATTCAATTTATGTGAGGATTAGGATACTAATCCAGGTGGTTTTCTTAAGGGCACCACATCCTGAACCTTCAACCTAAAGGTCTAATCCACAAGCAAGTGGATCAAAGTAAACAAATGTGGTTCTATGATAGCTGCTAATCATCAATAAGTTCATACGTCATTTAATTCCTTAGGTTTCTGGAGTCCATGTACACCATTTTTTTGGGGGGGGAATCAGAGTTTTCCAACTCCCCCTCCGTAGGTGAATCCTCCATATCCATCTATCAGTGTTTATATGATCAACATATCCATACACTTAGATTCAGCTCACATATATATGTCAAATCAAATTGATTTTCTGACAGAAAATTAATGAAAGTTTGCTTTAAAGGAACTAATCTAAAATACTAAAGTACTATTGTATATCTAGAAATTGGACAATTAAATAAACCATATGACAAAATAATCAAATAAATTACAACGTATAATCAATTTACAACTTGAAAAAAGAAAGTTTCATTAAATATAAACAAAACATTTTTACATTGAAACAATTTCTATATCTTAAACCAATTGAAATTAACAATGTAATCAGTATAAAAACTCCACTTGGAGTTCCTCCGGAGGCTACTGCCAGTCTCAAGCCCGGATAAAGGAGGAGGCTTGGGCATGGGGGATTAGCGACCCTATCCCATAGAAAACTAAATCGCTAAAAAAGCGCTAACCAGAAAAAATCATTCAATTCTATTATAATCAGTATAAAAGAGAATATAATATAAAACATAAACATCTTATATACATCGTTTAAGTTGACAATTAAATTGTTGAATTCAACAAGAATGTTACTTATTTACTTACGCCTGTTACTCCTAATGGAGCATAGGCCGCCGACCAGCATTATTAATTTTAATAGTTGAATTTATGAGTCAATTAAAGCTAGATCACCATAGAAAACGTGGAAGTACTAGATGGTTATTTCGTTCTAGTACGAGAATTCTCAGCAGTACGCATCCACGATCTCACCCGCAGCATTCGAATCCAGAACTTATCGGATTCACTGTCGACTGCCGGCTCAGTGATCTAGTGGTTAAGCGTTCACGTATGAAACTGATAGGTTCTAGGTACGAATACCGCAGGCGGGATCGTGGATGCACATTGCTGAGGAGTCCCATACTAAGACAAAACAGCCGTCTAGTGATTCCAGGTTTTCCATGGTAGTTCAGCTTTAATTGACTTATGAATTCAACTATTAAAATTGCTATAATATACATAAAATTCCCTTTCTGAAAACATATTTATTATCTGCTTATATCTGTATATTTTTGTTAGCACTATGAATGTGTTTCAGTGGTTATATGTACACAACTAATATGTTGTTCAATTACGTGAAAATTGATCAGTATTATAATAAATACGCAGAACATGGTACAAATATGCATAAGTTCAAGTAGGAACACTAATTCACATCATCACACAGTTGACTGTAATTAATAACAAAGTCTATTTTTAAATAATTGGCATAAATGATAATAAAGGTCAAATATAGAAGATATAGATGTTGAAAGGATTATACAAAAGCCTGGAATAGAGGGCGTGAAGTGACGTATAAAATTCTTAAAAAAACTACAAGATAAAGAATAAGAAAATCCGTACTAATCTAACCAACTTTCAGATACGTTACGTCGTGTCAACAACCACTGATGTTACACAGGCTCTGAAGAACAAGTAGCATTATTCAAATCAACACTTAATGAATAGATCCAATGATATTGTTTTTCTTCAACCAACACTTAAACGTCTTCCAGTTGAATCATATCCTTATCTAGCTTAAGAGCAATGTGCTCCAAAATGCCCTGGTACGTCCGAGAGTGGGAAGAGTCAACTCTCCCTCTCCAAATGTTCTCACATGGCCACGTGTATACACCCACTACTCACTGCCTTATCGTAGCATTACTGTTAATTACGAAATTGAGAGGAGTAAAATCAAATATCCGGCGCTTTAACAGGGTTGGTGAAAAAGTTGGGAAACCCCGATTCTAAATCAATGGTGTACATGGAATCCAGGATTCTGAAGGAACAAATGGTGTATGAACCAACTAGTGGTCACCGACTACTATGAGACTACATTTCTTGACGTTGCTCCACTTCCTTTTGAATTACACATATAGGTCAAAGTCTCTGGGTATGAGCCCTTTAAGAAAACCACATGCTTCTGTTTGGTCACCCCCGGGTAGTAACCCAACCATGACATAAATCGAATGATTTATGTGGTCGTGTAATGTTTATGTGTTTAAATAAACAAATAAAACCAATATGTTATCCGTTGTTTAATGGCATAAAATATAATTTACATCAATATCAAACCTTATAAAAATTAACTATTCTCTTACTTCATAATAACACACAAATTATCTTGCATTGGACTTTTAATTTCACTCAAAAATCTATATTATATTATATTTCAATTCTGATTGGTTCATTCAGTGTCAGTAGTATGAATATACTTTAATCGCTTTTTAACTTAATTGTGCTTCAATCAAGTATTACACGTTTAAGTAGATGGTTTGACATACATAACCATTTTAATCGATGGAGATGAAAGGAATTAATTAACAAATGATTAACTTTGTACCATCCTACTTAACCATAGTATATTGATCACTCTTGTTTACTTCACGAAAAAAAAAGAGTACTGTCTCATAAAAACATGTAATCAGTTGTATATTTTTATTTCTATAAGACTGTTACAGTCAGTCAGTAACAACGTAGAACTTCGTACGTACGTACATACATCAGTTCGAGTTGCCACACTACATTACCACAGAAATGCAGTTGTTGATTCAAATCCCGTACTGATAGAGGCGGTAAGAGTATAAGCAGTAATCGGAAACATTAGAGTTTGAAGATGTTATTCAAGGAGTATAATTTAGTGAAATAATATTGGAAAGAGAAAAAAGAGATTGTTACACAGTCATAGAGTAATAGAAAGCAAATCACTTTGGAGTAAACTTTCACTTTGTTTAATAGACTGAAAACTGATGTTATTGGAAGAAAATATAAGCGAGATTTTTCAATCCATGACAAAATCAAGTTAATAGGATAAATGAAGTGAGTAATAAACGTACTTAACTACTTAAATAAGTATTATGATATTGTATAGAAAAAATTTACAATTTACCTATATAGCTCAAAGGCTAGAAAAAAATATAAAAACTAATCATTTGAGTTCAAATATCTATTATCGTAAAATATGTATACTGAATTAGAAAAATATACTACTATTAATATGAATTCATACTTTGGTTATCACTTATTCATATCTTCTATAAAACAGTTATTAAAACATGAAATTGACTATATTATATATACGCCCCCAAATGCCCTGGTACGGCCGAGAGTGGACAGAGTCCGCTCTACCTCTCGAAATACTCTCACACCGCTACGCGTATATAACCATTGCCAGAGAAGTCCTACTCACTGCCTTCTTGTGGCATTATTGTTGTTTAGGAAATTGAGAGGACGAAAAGCGAGTGTCCGACGCTTTAACCGAGTTGGTGGATATGGAGAGTTCACCTAGGAGACTTGGAAAACCCTGATTCCAAACCAATGGTGCACATGGGATTCAGGATCCTGAGGGAAGAAATGGCGTATGAACTTAGTGTTGGTCACCGGCTACGATGAGACTGCATTTCCTGACGTTGATCCACTGCCTTTTGGATCAGACCTTCAGGTCGAAGGCTACGGGTGTGGCCCTCTAAGAAAACCACCTGTTTCGGTTTATGCATCCGAGCAGTATCACAGCCCTCACACATATGAAATGAGATTTGTGTGGCGTATATGTATTTGGTGCCTCCTTGTACCAATATCTATGTGTTAAAATAAAATAAATAAATTATATATACATACACAATTACCAAATTAATTCAATAGTAATTTGTAGATGGTAGAGAAGATTAGTAGCTCAGATGGATGATTTTGATGAAGTTTCGTTCTTTGAGCTGATTGGTTTGGTTGTTGAGCTTTCATCGTTCTTCTGAACGACATCATTACCAGGACAAACTTCAGACACAAGTGAAGTGTTCGAATTTCTCTACATATGGTTCACAGTTTGTCCTGTACAACTCGATGTTGATTAATTCTTGTTGGCCTTAAACAAAGAATTAAACAATGACAGGTTTAAGTTCAACAAGAATCAATCAACATCGACGTGTACAGAGCAAGTTGTGAACCACATGTAGAGAAATTCGAATACTTCACTTCTATCTGGAGTTTGTACTGATGATGTCGTTAAGAAAAACGATGAAAGCTCCACGACTAAACCATCCAGCTTAGAGAATGAAACTCCATCAAAATAGTAATTTATATGTGATTTCCATTCTCACAAAGTATCTTTTTATGCATTTTAATATTTATTTTTTCTAATATATACTTCACAAAAAGGGTTTATAAAAGTGTAAAATAATGCTTTTTTATTGAGATCATGAACCGATTGATGTTAGACCACCTTTGGAAACCTGGAAGCTCTGAACGACCGTTTCGTCCTATTGTGGGACTCCTCAGCTGTGCGCATTTACGATCCCGCTCGCGGGATTCGAACCCAGGGCCTTCGGTCTCGCGCGCGTATGCTTAACCAATTGGACCACTGAGTCACCCGGTATCCGACGGTGATAATGTCTAACTTCAACAAATCCACGATAATTAGCGACACATCCACCATTGTCATCAGTGAGTTACTATGTCACAACAGACCTGGTTGAATAACTCCACTGATCATAGCTTCTCACTAGAACTCTAGGAAATACCTCTTGAAGTTAATCACTAGTGACTATATGATGATTATTATCAGGTGTTTAAATCAACTGTATACCTTAAACAATTGAGTAATAACAATTGAATAACTAACTATCTCTCACATAATTTAATCATATGATATTGCCTTTATTTAACAATGAATCTATCATCAAACCAACAAAAATATCTACTAAATTTACATAAGATTGCATGACAAAGTTATATTACACAAAACTACAATCTAATAAAGATTATTTGAACAGTTAAAATCTATCTATCATACTTGATAAGTTACAATCATATGATTATAAGTTTACAATTGATTGATATAAACATGATTTCACTTTTACTTATATCAAAATAAAATTGTAAAACAAAAATTTAAAAAAGAATTGTATTGCTACTAGATTTATGAGTTTAATTTAATGCAACCATAGCAACAACAACACCACCACCACCACCACTAGCAACAGTAGGAACCAAAACTACGATTAACAAAGTAGCAACAGATTTGTGATAATAGAAGTCATTGAGTATGTTATTTATGATTGTTGAATTACATGTTCACCTATTTGTTTAGTATATACAGATCATACATGTTGTAATCTTTCATCAGATTAGTGCTTGATACATTTAATTCTATTTAATTTCTATTTTATCTATTCCTCTTAGTATTACAATTTGTAATGATACACATCTATACTAGATCTAATGTACCATATTGAAAATCTATAACATTACTCATTATACAATTCATTGACATACATAAAGATAGATGGAAATATTTATGTAAATTAAATGAGAGAACATATTTTATGATACATCATATGAACACCGTAAACACGTAAACTGTATACAATAGATCACCAACACTGTACGATGTACTTTACACATGTAGTACAAATGTTTAGGGAACTGTGTGTTGAACATATAGTTCGTTATTATCAACAGTAACATACAAGTCTAGAAATGTATTAGGATACTATGTGTTAAATCCTTCTAGATAATTGTTAGCATAGGTTATTTGTAGTTATAAGTCAAGGGAAATTATTGAAAACAAAGAAGCCTCAACAATTTCACCTCACTGTTCTATGAGATATATGGTAAGTTGAACCGATGTACACATATCCCACGTCCAACGTTGCACACTTGACTGAGTATGGAACTCTTCAATGGTGCGTATTCACTATCCCATCTGAGATTGAACCCAAGACATTCAGGTATCACTAAGTCTTTCACATTTGGATCATTGAGACAACAGCCAATAGTTCATATTTCTAGCTCCCATAGATTCGAAATGTTGTGGAATCTTATTGCAAAGAAATTGCTTGACTCCAACATGATTGATCTTGCCGGTGGTTCTCACTAAAACTCTAAGAACGACCTTTCGAAGTTAGTCCATAGGATATTCAGTATAGAATTTGGTAGAAATTGTTAAATTTATGGTTTGACATCACGCACTGACTTCACAAGTATATATTTCAAATAAACAGGAACAATTATCCTGTAGAATAAATATACTAACTGAATTCTCTCTAGAACATAGTTGTACAATTAATATATGTATCAACCAATATGAATGAGTGTGAAAATCCATTAGTCAACATTTATTATGAACAGGGAGTCCAGTATCGAAAATAGATTCATATTATCATCCCTTGAAACTTTAAAAAAATAAAAAGAAGGATAAATATATTTATGAAGAGTAGTGGCTAACCTATTGTGAAGATTTGTCAGTTGGACTGAAGACCGAATTCTCGGGTACTTCAAATTCCACTCTAGATAATCAGAAAATAAAAGAAAAGAAAAGAAAAATGTGAGTAATTAAAGAGAGAAAAAAAGAATCATCGGAAGGGCACACTGTATGTAAACATGTGTTTAATTCATAGTAATTAGATGACCATGTGATTGGAAGTAATTACAACACAGAAAAAAAAACAACTTTTATCATCAATAATTTAAGCCTTTTTTCCTTCATTATTTGTGAATGCTACATTCATAGAAACTGATAGTCTACATGACATTTTTCTTTTGTCAATCATAAGTGTTACATAGTTATTCTCACTCAAATATAGATAGAAACAGCAGAAAATTGAACACCAAACACAACCATTATTGATAAAAGTCTATGACTGCTTTATATATATATATATATATATATATATATATATATATATATATATATATATATATATATATATATATATATATATATATATATATATATATATAGATGGATAAAAGTATCTTCTATAAACTATTTGATTACTCTAATCTAATCAATATTAACCTATATTTTTCTTCAATCAGTTCTAGTTGATTGCATAGAATAATAGCTTAGATTGATATCATGAATAGATTAATGTTAGACAACTATTGAAAACACAGAAGCACTAGATGACCGTTTAGTCCTAGTGTGGAACTACTTAGCAGTGCACATTCATGATCTCACCTCGTGAGATTCAAACCAAAGACCTTTGGTTTCGCGCACTGAATTGGCATCCAATGGTGTTAATGTCTAACCTCAACCAATACCGTCCACTCATTGTCCTCAGTTAGTAACTGACTCACAACAGACCCGGTTGAACTCCACTGGTCACTGTTACTGACTAGAACTCCAAGAAGTTCATCTTGAAGCTAGTCACCGTCGAATGCCAGCTCAGTGGTCTATAGGTCAAGCGTTCGTGCGCGAAACCAAAGATCCTAGGTTCGAATCCCTTTGGTGTGGGATCGTGGATGCGCACTGCTAAGGAGTTCCAGACTAGAACGAAACGGTCATCTAGTGCTTTCATGTTTTCAATACTTGTCTAAAAATAATCCATTTCATGATATTAATCTAAACTCAACAATCTCCATATGAATATAAATGCATTGCGTATCAATGACATATTGAATCTTTATTAGGATCACTTAAACTTTAATCATTATTTCTAACCAAGTGAGATAAAGTGAAATAATCATCTTTTCTATACCGAATTTCATCTATACAAAATGACTAATATTTTTAATCATGTAATTATTAAACGAATCATCATATGATCAAAATACCATTTTCTTTGATATAATCATTATGATGTAAATAGAATTACTTTCCATCTTTAGAATACTACTACTACTACTACTATGGTGATATTGAATAGTTTCGACAACACAAAAATAAAAACATGGAAGTGAATGATTAACTGTTATGGGTGTGTTTGTTTTTTTATAAACATACTAGAAAAACTCAAAGATTAGAACAAGATTGCTTTTGTTATATACCGATGAGAGTATTGAATGGTAACGTTTAGGATCCATTTATAGATCAATACTATACACGTATATTTTTATTGTATAATTGTTAAGTAATTCAACTATGCATATTCATATTCTTCTTATTGTAAGATTTATTTTGACCTATGGAGTATTATGATACGATTTAGCATTCTTGAGTTATACCCTGTCTATCAATTACTATCTCCTTTATTCACAACCACATTTGGCTAATTCTTGTACAAATGTTGTATCCTATTTTATGGTACGCTATGATCTGTTTGATTGGTGTATAAACCGAGTATGTTTGAAATAAATGATTCATATCGCAAAGGCTGAGATTGATGTTCTGAACTTAACAAGCAGGAAGCACAACCGATAAAGACTCTAGACTGCTCATACTTGTTTTATGCGTCGTCATTGGTCCGGTCGATAATTCAGTGTTCTCTGATTGACAGTATTATTACGTTATACATTGATAAGGGTACATACCCACAAGTTATAACAGTTTTCAATCAGATCTTCAGTAAATTTTACTCTAATATATAGAAATACTTCGATACATGAAGAAGAAAAAAAGCATTCAATCAATCAAGGTAGTTTTGCAAAAGATGTCTTGGATGATAATGGTTAATTAGGAAGGATTATTTAGACTGTAAAATACAGTTTAAGATACGAAATATTTGAAAAATGCGTAAAAGAATAGAACTTTCTAATTGAAATATATATATATATATATATATATATATATATATATATATATATATATATATATATATATATATATATATATATATATGATGAACAAAAAGGTATTTCCTGGAGTTCTAGTGAGAAGCAGTGATCAGTAGAGTTTAACTGTGTCTGTCGTGAGATAGTAACTCACTGATGACAATGGTGAATGTGCATATCAATTTCGTGGACTGGTTGAAGTTAGACATTAACACCATGGGATGCCGGCCGGCTCAGTGGTCTAGTGGTTAAGCGTTCGCATACGAGACAGATAGGTCTTTGGTTCGAATCTCGCGAGGTGCGATCGTGAATGCGCGCCGCTGAGGTGTCCCACAATAAGACGAAACGGCCGTCCAGTGGTTCCAGGTTTTTCATGATGGTCTAGCTTCAATTGACTGATGATCTCAACCATTAAAATTACTATAATATCCACAAAAACCCTTCTGATATGACAGATAAAAATGACGACTGTGACAAACATAAGATTATACTAGTTTATTTTACAAAATTCGGAAAATTTTACAGTAATGTATAGGACAGATGATTTAAACTAATGGATTTGTTGAGATATTGTTAACAGTGTTGACATTTACGATGGGAATATAAGACAGAGAAATTAAACTCTGAAAGAGATCTTGTTGTTTTTCTATGCAGTCTCAATATGTAAATAGTGGCAAGGTTAGATGGAGAGAACTAAGAAAAGATGGTAAGTCGGTTGGTAAAGCTGTGAATCTTCATAGGCTGAGGTATATGAAACACGTGTTCTCCGTTCTCCAATATTGTTTACCTTGAATCTTGATACTGACTAATGTAGCAGTGAGTTGGAGTAAGTCTATGGGGAGATAAACTAAGACCAATGATTAGTTTATCAGATTATAGTGAGCATCATTTCTGCCACAATTCTATACATACCTCCTGCTTACAACTTCCAATTAACATCAAATCTATGTCTAGGATTTTCTGCCAATTAACTACGACCATCTAACATACATACTTATATTCGTCACTTAAGAAATTGTTAGATCATCCCGTACAATCGATATACATAACCCATTTTCAAGACAGCATTGTTATTATTGTTACTATACAATAAATAGATACAAAACATTATGGAATACCAGAATTTATGCATTAGATAAACTAACAAGCTATATTAAATAATTTAGAGCATATAGCATTTTGATACACAAATAATTCGAATTAAAGTACACCAGAAAAGAAATTAAGATTAAAAGGTGAAATTAAGTTAGAAACAAAAATATACCGATAACCAACTGCTCGAACAAAAGATTGTAACACCAAATATTATTTTAGTAAGAAGTTTATCGAGTTCTTCTAAGTTGGAAATTACTTTCATTGTGAACTGTAATCATCAGTAGGGTAGTTGAAAACTAGTGAGAACCAGGCAAATATTTTTTTTATTAGGTTGAAATCATGAGTCAATTGAAGCTGGACCATCATGGGAAACCTGGGAGCACTGGATGGCCGTTTCGTCCTAGTACGAGACTCCTCGGCAGTGCGCACCCACGCGGGATTCGAACCCAGGACCTACTGGTTTCGCACGCGAGCACTTAACCAATAGACCACTGAGCCGGCCGGCACCCAACGGTGTTAATGTCGAACTTCAAGCAATCCACGAAGTTGTGCCACCGTACACCATTGTTTTCAGTGAGCTGATATCTCACAACAGACCTGGTTGAACTCCACTGGTAACAGCTTCTCACTAGAACTCCAGAAGTATCTCCGGAAGTCAGTCACTAGTGAGCAGTTGAATAATATCAGAATGGGTTTTGTGGAGATCTTTTTTTCTAGTTAAGAACTGTTTCGCTAATGCCCACTGGTAATATAGCACAGAGTCATAGCAATCAAGAAAACATTGATGAACCACAGATTTGCAATTCAGTATTTTGCACTTCTTAATTTCAAATGCCTAGGAATATAATTTAATCATGATACAAACTATACAACTACCGTACTTCTTACAAATTATGGTTGTTTACTAGAATCGAAAGTTGATCCAATACTGTTAGGGATTTTAAATAGTCCTGCAGCTAGTTTTGAAATTCGAAATAGGAATTACTTTTGAGGCTTTTATTTCATACAAAGCATAATGATTTTTTTCATTGAGCAAATTATCGTTTCCATATACTATTGTTATAGGGTGTTGCGGAGTTTGATGGATTTGAATGTCCATATCGCGGACTAATTTTGGTTAGACAGTCGTTGAAAACCAGGAAGGACTGGAAATTTATCTGGTCATAATATTGGACTTCACAGTAGTGCATACTCACGAGTGTCCTGGGGATAAAACCTCAGGCTTTGAAATCGATAATCTCTATAATACTCTATAATCAAAATTGTCATCTACTTACTAGTGACCAATTTTAAGAGGTGATTCCTGGAATTATAGTGAGGAACGATTGAGGGGATTTAACTATATCCGGAGTGAAATAGTTACTGATTTATAGCATTGAATAAAAGTCATGCTCGATTAAATGAAGAATAAAAACAATAGGATTATAACTCAGATATCTAAAGCTGAAGCGTTTCCCATCAGGCTTGAAGGTTTTAGACTCAAACTCTAATGAAATCGTAGATAGATACCACCGGGATAGGATAAATTTTCAGTATTTCCTAATTGTTAAGGATTTCCTAATTGAAGTCAGTTCGTGATATAAGAACTTCAGTGGAACATGATTAACAGATTATTACTATGAATAAGATAGATAATATATCAATCTAGGCAAATTACTTACGTACTTGTATACTTGTATTTAAAAATATTATGATGTGAACATCAGTAAAAATAGCATACATAATTTATAACTAACCTAATGTCTTATAATTTAAATAATTGACTGATCCATTAGATGAATAGTTATTCATTGGAAAATATTGTACCCTAATATCATTTGTATAGAACAATGATAAAGAGATGAATATAAACATTAGAATATAGGTGAGTTAATGAAAATTAAACAAACTATATTGTGTAGAATAATAATAATAATAATAATAAGCCTATTACTAAAAACAAAAAGATTAAAGATAATCATATCTTTAAGTAAAGCAATTAAAAAGTAACATAGTCAAGACGATCCAATTCAAGGACAATTCCTGGACCCCTTATCTAGGTGACACAACATTAAATCCTGATTAAAGAAGTCAAGAGAGTTATATATATATATATATATATATATATATATATATAGTGATATGATTTTCAATGAGTTGTAAAATATCAGATAACCATTTAGTAACCAAATGATATGATAGCGTTTTTTTAGCGAGTAAGTTTTCTACGGGATGGGGTCGCTATCCCCATGCCTAACCCTCCTCCATTTATCCGGACTTAGGATTGACAATAACCCTAGAGGGGCTCCAGGCGGAATGAATAGGACACACATTGAGGAAAGTACTCAACTGCGTCATAAGGTAAGCCATCACATGGAATCCTCAAGGCCAAAAAAGTAGACGAAGACCAAAGAATACACTAAGCAGAGAAACGGAAACAGACATGAGAAAAATGAACAAAAATTGGATAGAACTGGAAAAGAAGCCCCATGGTAGCCGGTGACCAATAATCGGTTCATACACCATTCACTCCTTCACGATACTAGAGCCCATGTGCACCATTGGTTTGGAATCAGGGTTTTCCAAGTCTCCCAGGTGGACTCTCCATATCCACCAACTCGGTTAAAGCGTCGGACACTCGCTTTTCGTCCTCTCAATTTCCTAAACAACAATAATGCCACAAGAAGACAGTGAGTAGGACTTCCCTGGCATAGGCTATATACGCGTGGCCGTGTGAGAGCGTTTCGAGAAGGAGAGCGGACTCTCCCCACTCTCGACCGTACCAGGGCGTTTGAGGGGATGGAAAACCTGGAAGCACTGGACGGTCGTTCCGTAGTATGGGACTCCACTGAACCAAGTTATGCGACACACTTATCAAAGACCGAATTTTTCATGCAAAACGACGTATCCAAACTCTTATTCTTCGTTGGCCCTAATTCACTTCTGCATTATGTTTTGACCTTGTTTTATTTTTATTATTATTTTGTCATTTTAAACCGTAATACGGTTATTATTATCCTCTAATAGTTTCTCATGATAATTATTATATCGTTTCATTTTTCTTCATATTACCTTTAATCCAAATGACATCATCGATATAATCAAACTTTATTGTATGTACTAGATAATTGAGTTCATTTTATATCTGTACTACCTAAACTTATGTTAATTAGGAAAAGTGAATTACATCAAGTCATAGAAAGTCAAGATTTAAACTTTCTATTTATTGGAATATTACAAGTACATTATTATTTTATCATAATAGTCAGTCAGTCAGTAACAACGTAGAACTTCGTACTTACGTACATACATCAGTTCGAGTTGCCATACCACATAAGCACAGGGAATTTTATCATAATAAATAATCTATCTAACGCTTAAGTTAATTTTAAATTACTAAGTCAAACCCCGTTAGTGACGCTTAGATAATCACTAAGGCATCATATAGTAATAATAATAATAATAATAATAATAATAATAATAATAATAATAATCTGACTCAATTATATCAAGTATGTACTCTTGAATCTAACTGTAAACAAATTCAGACAGTATTTCAATGTAATATATTATATGATTAAACAAAATGAATGAACCAAATAATATGTAATTAAAATTGTAATCTGTAGATGATAAACGTATTAACCGAATTGCTGAATAATAAGTCCTAATAAACTCATGAATTAATCCAAATAGTACAAAACCTAGATCTAGGGTTTCCTTTCAACTATACCTCCAACCACCACATTATATCTTAATATAGCTACACAAGAGTCGCTTAGACCAGTGGCTACATTGCAAATTGATCGATAATATTCGATCCACAATAAGAAGGTCCTGATATATATGACACTGGTCAAAATGAGTAAAAGAATAAATGAAGACAATCAACCATAAATAACCATAATAAAACTGATATCATACTTGAGCACTAACCAAAACAGATCATTTCTATATAAGGTAGGTGTGTTGTGTTGATGATGTTATTGTTTAGGACAATTAAGTCAGAGCGGTTATCGATGTATAAATAGAAAGAGTTGTATATTGTTTTAGAAGTTCAAATGATTTGAAATGATTTTTGACACTATGAATGAAACTCCATCTGCAACTCTTCTAGAGTTACTGGCGGTCCCAAGCCCGGGTAAAAGAGGAGGGTTTGGGATGGAATTAGCGACCCGAGCTCGTAGAAAACTGACTCTCTAAAAAAAACGCTAACCAGGAATTCATTCACTAACTGAGAAATAATTCAATGATCATTCAAATCAGGCTTATCTATTAAGAATACAAATTTATTTAATAGATGACACCAAAATAAAGACAAACAACAGATCAAAATTTGGAATCATATAAAACGGAGTAAACGAAATCTCAAAATGATCTCATTCATTTTAGAATTTATATATAATACAATCGAAAACGATGGTAAGTAGGAACATTGTCCTCACTACCTTGTATTCTGGAACTATGTTTGATAGAATCAAATTCCAATAAGTTAAATGATCTATACAACTCTAATCAAAGTTATGATGGATCAATAAACATTACCCAATCGTATACAATAATGAAAACTGTTTGGAAAATTGTATCTTTAGGAGAATGATGTAATATTATGCCTATCCAATATGAAGTATATGTCAGTATTGAGCGATCAATCGAACTGAGACAATATGACCAATGTAATCATGATCTGAACAAAATCATACATAATCTACACAAGCTATTTATCTATAAATTTATCCTAATTGATTCAGTAAAACATAAGTCAAGATTTTACGAAGCAACATATGTATCGAATAATACGGACAGAGATGATATTGGCTTTGTTATGTCTGAATACCAAAAATACTTATTTTAATCATTGTTTTTTTTGCACCATTTTTTCCATATTCAAAATACTTACATACTATGGTATTATTATTATTATTATTGATGGTATAATGCAACGTGTAACGTTTAGGAATGAAACTGATATGTTCATACTACATAGATAATTGATGTGGAATCGACTCCAAGTTCTACAGGTCACGCATCGAACTTCTGATCAATAGAACCACCAGCTTGATATCCAATGGTACAATTTCAGCTTCATGCATCACAGTTTGCAAAGATGGCATGACTGAAAAAAACCCCTATCAGCCCATGAATCAGATTGGCTGCTAAGATTTAAGATTTCAGATGCATAACCTTAGTGTAGAAACACTGAACAGAAATATGAAATAAAACTACAAGGCACGTTTAAACAGCATTATTACATGCATGATTTATTTATTTATTTATTTTAACACATAGATATTGGTACAATGAGGCAACAAATAAATATGCGCCATACAGATCTCATTTGGTATGTGTGAGGGCTGTGATACTTCTCGGGTGTCCAAAGAGAACCAGGTGGTTTTCTTAGGGGGTCACACCCAGAGTCTTCGACCTGAAGGTCTGATCCACAAATCGGTGGGGCAATTTAAGGAGATGCAACCCCACAGTAACCAGTGACCATTAATTGATTCATATGCCATTTGTTCCTTCACGATACTGGAGTCCATGTACACCATTGGTTTGGAATCAGGGTTTTCCAACTCACCTAGGTAGACTCTCCATGTTCACTAATCCGGTTAAAGCGCCGGATATTCGCTTTTCGTCCTCTCAATTTCTTAAACAACATCCCCGACGCGAGAAGGTAGTGAGTAAGAATTCCCTGGCAGTGGTTGTATGCACGTGACCATGTGAGAGCATTTCGGGAGAGAAAGCTGACTTTCCCCACTCTCGGCCGTACCAGGGCATTTGGGCATTTGTAACTCTAGAAAAAAGGAACCCACGAAAATGAAAATACAAGTAGAAGACTTTTTTTAAAAATTATCATCATCATTCCTCGCAATTGGAGTGTAGCTCATATCCAAGTACCTGGTGAACATTGTATTGTCTCGCAGTGTAGTGAACGCACTTAGAGGCCAAATGAATAGATAGTTCAGATGACAGAACACACTGGAAGATGCAAATGGATGTTTGAAGGTTATGTATATGTATTATGTAAATACTTAGTAACTTTTCGCAATAAATACACCTTTCTCTTGCTTATTGCCATCTTAACAACATCATTGCATCAATTCCAAAAGGAATCATTCAAAAGTATTTCTCAAATCGACAATTTATTTGGCCTTAAAGATCCCATTTACGCTTAGCCACCACTTTCATATATAGCTTAGAAGAAACGTGGAATAAATAAGTTCACTGATTTCACATAAGAAACAAAACATATAAAGAAAGCTGATTAGATAATGTTCATATTGAGAAGCAAATTACGAAAAAAAAGAGAAAGAAACTTACGTCACTTGATCATCTCTGTAAGTAGGCAGAGAATTTCCAGTGTCTCCAACATACGGTAGGTAATATAGCTATGAAAGTAATAAAATACACTAGAGTATATAAGTAGAAAAGTAGACAAATATTAGTAATGTTATTATCATCATCATCAGTTGAGTCCATTGACTTAGTTTGTGAAATTTAAGGCAAAACATTGTGAATTACCACAATTTGCAAATATATGAATCATTGAATGCTTGCTAAGTTATCTGGAAGACCTCAAGATCCTGAATTCGGCCACTGCCTTGGTTGCGGGTTTGAACTAGGGCGAAACAAGTACGTAATGAAACTCAGGTTTCGATAATTATTCAATTAAAGTCAATTGGTAATATAAACTATCATCAATGCAGTATCTGAGAAAGTAAATTCATTAGGATCATAGATTAGTTTTGTGTAAAATTGTGAACATTCTTGGCAATATTTCTGCAATGACTATTCCGAACTATTTTTATCACTCTACTATTGAAGGTATAAAATCTTGATTTCAATTAAAATCTTTATATCAACCTCTTTATAATTATTACTGATGTTAAGCATAGGGTACTAGGTAAAAATATCGAAATCGGTTGATGAGGATGTGAATTTTCATCCACTGAGGTGGTCGAAACATGTATAACGTATGTCTAACCACTACCTAACTTGACGTGCAATGTTATATAGCATAGGAGTAATTTGGAAAAATATTAGAGGTTAACAAAAATGTGACATCAATCCATGAAGTTATTGACTGTTGGTCAAACCCATGTTGACAAATGCAGATTACACGGGTGGGATATGCTCGACTAATGACTGGGTGACATGGCTCAGAATCGCGCAGACATATTCACTAGTTAATTTCATCCAGATCCTGAGTTCGTGTATTCTTTCATACATACCTTTTCATTCCATCTTCTCAAACAATATTTTTTCAATGTTTAATCCATTTCACTACTATTACTACTAAAATTATTTTGACTCTTCTATTACTTCATCGTTACATTCACTTGATCTCATCATGTTGATGAAGAAAAGCAACTTGAGCTAACGCACACTTGTGCCGAGCCCTGTGTTAACTACTACAATTTGTAAGGATTGATATTTCCCAATTATTTACGTTCAGCACTTCATATGATTATAATCTCCTTAAATGTACATAGAAAACAGATATATTCAATTAATGACGAAATGTATCAGAAGGGGTTTTGTGGATATTATAGTAATTTCAATAGTTGAGATCGTGAGTCAAATGAAGCTAGACCATCATGGAAAACCTGGAAGCACTGGACGACCGTTTCGTCCAATTGTGAGACTGTTGTGAGATAGTAACTCACTGATGACAATGGTGGATGTATCACTCAATTTCGTGGATTAGTTCAAGCTAGACCTTAACACCATTGGATGCCGGCTGGCTCAGTGGTCTAATGGTTAAGCGCTCGCGCACGAGACTGATAAGTCATGGGTTATTTATTATTATTATTATTATTACTATTAATTATTATTATTATTATTATTATTATTATTATTATTATTATTATTATTATTATTATAAGTAACCAGATTAATCAGGATTATCTAAGTTTTGTTAACTTTGTAAATGAACATACGACTAATAATCATAATTGACAGAATGTTTAGCATATAAGCAGGATTTCAATCAACAACTTTTAAGGTAACGATTTTGTGTCCAAAATATTGTTGGTTAGTAATTATGGTCAATTTAACAGTATTATTAGTTGTTAAAGTCCTTTAATTTTAGTTAACTCATGACATATTTATACCTTTCCCATTTATTAACTTTCTATTGAGTGGCCATATAAAAGTCAGGAAATCACCATTAATGTAGGACGTGGGATGAATATGTATCAATTTAAATAGCCACGTCTTTGATTGTTCCATCCCATTCCTATAACAGCCAACATTCCACTGAAGAGTGGTTAGGGATGCATAGTACAGTTAATGAACGTTTATAGCACTATCAAAGGATTTGACTTTCTTACCTAGTACTATATCCCCAATCTTAGCATTACTCACTCATACAACCGTTTATTTACTAAAACTGTGACAACTTTGATCAGTCAGTCAGTAACAACGTGGAACTTCGTACATACGAAAATCAGTTCAAGTTGTCATATTACATTAGCACACAGACACAATTGTCGATTTAAATCCCATTGTGGTAGAGATAGTAAAAGTATAAGCAGTAATCGGAAACATTAGGATTTGAAGATGTTATTCAACGAGTACAATTCAGTGAAATAAATTCGGAAAGAGAAAAAAGGAACAAGAACAATTCAGAAGATTAGAATTTGGAAGAACACAAAGAGTGGATGCACCTGTGCCATTACAAATGATTTTCAGCAATGTCATTCAGGGCCTCTAACCACTGTTACTATCATGTCGCGGTCCCCAACCAGGTAGTCTACACCTACCAACATGACTCAGTCCACTTATCAGTGACTTCATGGACTTGTGCCATGTTTTCGTCTGGCCGCCCCTAGCATTCTTCCAACCTACTCCTACACCACAAAACATCGCACATCGAAGCAGTCAGTGGTTGGGCATATGTAACACAAGTCCCAGCCATCTCAACTGATGAAGTTTCACTACTTCATTAATTGATTTGCCATCCTTACCTAGTACCCGTTTCCTGAAAACTGCTTTACTTACTCGATGGTCCCAGGATATACGAGCAATGCTTCGAAGACACCTATGATCGAATACTAGTAACCTCTAATGAATAAACGATAATTTAGTTACATATATCTTGGAAAGTGATATCAGTTTGGAAATAATCAAAACGTTAGGAAATTTTTTCGATTAGAGTTAAAATTTTAATTCCAATAAATACTTTTGCAGGTTATTTAGATCTTACATTCCTTCAACCAAATAATTAATAGGGTTCTGATGGAAAGTTGTGTTCAATGATGTTGGATATCAAGTAAAATCACCGACAACAATAGATAATAATTGGATAATATCACGAATTGTGTGAATTGAAAGATATATGGTGAGACAACACGTGGACGTAATTAGGGAGTTTCCAGAACATCCCGAAAAGTACGTATTTAAACATTCTTCCATTAACCTTTCGTCAAGCCAAATGCAGGTCTTATCATTGTGTCCCAAGTTCTGTAACAGTACCTCCAAAACCAATAGACTTCATACTCAAATGCAATTCGAAAATCTATCAAACCAAACTCATGATTATGTGCCGACATCCCCACAAGATCTTCAACATTTTAAATCCACATTAGTGGATTGTAGTCATGGATACATTAATATACAATGTGGTAAGAATAACTTATTAACTAAGAATCATTTGGACCAGCTAATGCTCTTGAAAACTAATAAAAATTTGATTCTAAATAATCCTTACAAAGGAACTGGTGTAGTACTACTTGACCGCCAAGAATATTTGGATAAAATGAGGTTAATCCTAGAGGATGTTACTAAATTTTCCAAACCTAAGGGAGGAGTTGACAAAACACTGCAAATTGAAAAACAGCTAACAGATGTTGTCAAAAATCTTAAGAATAAGAGGATAATAACCCCAGACTTATATGATCATATACTTCCGATGGGTTCGATCATCCCGCGCTTATATGGACTACCGAAAGCACATAAACCTGGTTTACCGTTACGACCTATTTTGGATATGTCTAGTTCACCATATCACCGAATCGCCCAATGGTTGGCTGAAAAATTGGAACCAGTTAGAAGGCAAGTATCTAAATATTCTATTCTATTTATTGATCGTATTAAGGACGTTAGTACTTCCGGAAAACAAATGTTCTCGATTGACGTTAACTCTGTTCACTAGTGTACATTTAACCGAAACGATATGCTATATATGTGACTATAATGATTCTAACAACATAGATCTAGTGTGTGCTATCTAGGTTTGCTGACTAACCACTTGAAAGAACTATCGTTACGTTATACTTTTAATGACCAGTTTAGTCGCAACAATGAAATATATACACAAAGAGATGGGATCGCAATGGGGTCCAATTTTAGCACTGTTTTATGGCAAAATTGGAAAACGACCAACTCAATTCGTTAACTAATCGATTTCGTCTATACGTAAGAGACATGGACGACACATTTGTCGTTTGTGACGATAATATTGAGTTAGAAGATATTTTACACACCTTCAACACATACAACCCTTCCATAGACTTTATGTTAGAAAGTAAGCGAGACCAGTCAATCTCTTCTCTCAGTGTGCGTCTGAATGAAAAGAATTAGTTATGACAAGGAATCTGGTTGTTCCGTTCTAAAGAAAAACCTCTATATAAGTTTGGAATTTAAAGGTAATTGAACATCTGATGTAATCAAAAACCGTTTAACGACAGAGATTAAAAGAACATTCAATGCGGCAAAACTGTGAATAACGTTCAGTAGCAGGAACCTATTTTCTGTATCCACAAAAGATAAGCTTCCCCATCTGGTCACCTCCATGTGTATCTACCAGTTCACCAGCTATTGTGGAGCAAGGTACGTTGGCCGTAGCCAGCAATCGCTTTCAACTAGGATACGGGAACACGTTCCAGTTTGGTTCTACAAGGGTGAGAGGAAGGCAGTCAGGAGTTCTATACTTGAACATCTAATCGACTGTAATCATTCTACGGATCCACAGTTTGATTTTAAGGTTGTATATACGATTCGTTCAAATCTACCTAGATTTCTTCGTATCCAACTCCTAAGAATAGCTGAAGCTCTTACCATCCATTAGCGCAAGCCAGAAATATGCGTACAAAAGAGGTACATCCTATCGTTATCGTTAACTTGGCCTTTATTATTATTATTATTATTATTATTATTATTATTACGGCATGCCCCCTTTACTTATGTCTCATATTCTCATTATTTTGTTCATAAGTACTCATCGTATCACTATTTTTTAACGCGTCTATGACCTTTAATTATTGTAACAAAAACATTTTAGTCATCTGACTACATCCACGTAATAATAAAAATTCGAAAAAAAAACCATTAACTAACAGAACTGATTCACTTACAGTACTTAGTGCTACGAAAAATCCTAATAGTCCACCACCAAGTACATCGGACCAATGATGTTTATTATCGATAATACGTGAATATCCAACAACTAATCCAAGAGCGACATAAATCATTTGAAAACATGTTCTTACACCCGGATACATGCGAGAATGTGAAAATCTCAGTTGAATATAAAGCTGGAAAAAAATAAAATAGATGACTGTATGATCAAAGGTGAAAAGGTATTTTTAACAATGTATTATGAATAAATGTCTTTTGGAAAAGGATTTTTCGAAACCATGCAGTCAGTCAGTCAGTCAGCAACAACGTGGAACTTCGTACATACGAACATCAGTCCAAGTTGTCATATTACATTAGCACACAGATACAATTGTCGATTTAAATCCCATTGTGGTAGAGGTAGTAAAAGTATAAGCAGTAATCGGAAACATTAGGATTTGAAGATGTTATTCAACGAGTATAATTCAGTGAAATAAATTCGGAAGGAGAAGAAGGGAACAACAACAATTCAGAAGATTAGAATTTGGAAGAACACAAAGAGTGGATGCACCTGTGCCATTACAAATGATTTTCAGCAATGTCATTCAGGGCCTCTAACCACCGTTACTATCATGTCGCGGTCCCCAACCAGGTAGTCTACACCTACCAACATGACTCAGTCCACTTATCAGTGACTTCATGGACTTGTGCCATGTTTTGGTCTGGCCACCCCTAGCATTCTTCCAACCTACTCCTACACCACAAAACATCGCACATCGAAGCAGTCAGTGGTTGGGCATACGTAACACAAGTCCCAGCCATCTCAACTGATGGAGTTTCACTACTTCATCAATTGATTTGTCATCCTTACCTAGTACCCGTTTCCTGACAACTGCATTACTTACTCGATGGTCCCGGGATATACGAGCAATATTTCGAAGACACCTATGATCGAATTCTAGTAACCTACGGATATCCTCTACTCCTACCGGCCATGTTTCACTGCCATAAAGTAGGACGGAACGAACTGCTGCGCAGTAAACACGTCCTTTGGTTGATAGACGGATATCTCGCCTACGCCATAAATGATGCAAGTTGGTAAAAGCTAGTCAAGCTTTCTGTATCCGTGCTGAGATTTCGTCACTCACCAGACCCAAAGGGCTGATGAGACTTCCAAGATAAGTGAAGCGATCGACACGCTCAATCACTTCACTCCATATCATTAGTTCGGGTGCCAATGCAACCCAATCCTGAAGCAACATTTTGCATTTCGAGGGGGAGAATCGCATCCCGAACATGCTTGCATTGTTGCTTAGAGTGGTCAGAAGACTCTACATTTTATCAGCGTCTTCACCAAATAAAACTATGTCATCAGCATGTTCTAAGTCAACAAGTGAACCTCCCGGTAAAAATTCAACTCCTGGAAATCTAGACGAGGAAAGTGTTATCTCTAAAAGTACGTCGACCACAAAGTTGAACAAGAATGGAGAGAGTGGGCAGCCCTGACGAACACCACTTGAGGTAATCAATTCTGATGACAGTTCGCCATAAGCTCTCACTCTACCAGCTGTGTTCGAGTAAAGAGCCTTTATAAGGTTAATGTACTTCTTTGGTACTCCTTTCAGTGACAACTACTGCCATAGAACCTTACGATCAACGGAGTCGAATGCCGCCTTAAGGTCGAGAAATACTACCATTGTGGAGCGATCCCACAGTAACTAGTGACCAATAATTGATTCATATGCCATTTGTTCCTTCACGATACTGGAGGCGATGTACACCATTGGTTTGGAATCAGGGTTTTCCAACTCACCTAGGTGGACTCTTCGTGCCCACCAACCCGGTTAAAGCGCCGGATATTCGCTTTTCGTCCTCTCAGTTTTGTAAACAACACCCCCGACGCGAGAAGGTAGTGAGTAAGAATTTCCTGGCAGTGGTTGTATGCACGTGACCATGTGAGAGCATTTCGGGAGGGAAAGCTGACTTTCCTCACTCTCGGCCATATCAGGGCATTTGGGGGCAAATTATTAAATAATTATTAGTTACAGAATTTATTAACTGAATAATCATCACTCAAACACAAAATCATACAGAATTGAAAATAAAATCAACTGATTCCATAATGCATAAATCGAGAAGTGAAAATTGAGATGGTGGTTGGAGGTAGTCAACAGGAAACCCTGGACCCGGGTTTCGTGCTACTTGGCACTCGTCAGCAAGGTATACCTGTAATCTCGAGGGGACTGGTGCTCCCTGGAGGATTTGATAGCGTTCGATCTGCAGACACACATGACATTGATCACCACCCAGTGATCAATCAATTGTGAGAAGTGAAAATGCACTGAAAGTCAATAAACGAAGTCCTCCTCAATGTAGTACTTGGTGATTCAGCATCCTCAAAAAGTAATGATTGATTTTAAAGAAAGTCTTTCATTAACAGTTTTTTATGTCATCAGTTACGTTGCTATGCATATGAAAATTTCGCTGCATCGACTCTTATGGATGAATTATATTAAATCTCGAAAATACTTTTTTAACCGGCATAAATAACAATATTTTGTATAATTCATCTGATCATGAGATGGTGGAGAAGATTTGTAGCTGAGGTGGTTGATTTTGATGGAGTTTTGTTCTCTGAGCTGGACTTCTATCTGAATTTAATGCTGAGGATGTCGTTCAGAAGAACGATGAAAGCTCTATGACCAAACCATCCAGCTCAGAGAACAAAACTCAATCAAAATCATCTGATAATCCTAGAAAAAAATATATTAACTACAGTTTTAACATTTAATTCATTTTTTTCAGACGTATTATCTAGTCTTTTTTGAGACCAAGAGGTAGAGGTTAATTTTCTAAAACAATATGAAAAAACCAAAGGAAACAAGAGGATATGTACTTTATCTAACCGTGTAAACTGATAAATGTTTATTACCTAGTTGGTAAAGTCCGTAATTATGGACTACAGAGGAATTTTGACGAGTAATGACCATACCCTCCACTCGCAACTAAATCAGAAATGGAAGACAAACACTGACTAATATATTTACTAAATAAACATTTAGACGACACAGCCACCTATCATACATTAAAGATAAATCGACTTCCAATGTTGCACGGCCCCCAAACGCCCTGGTATGGCCGAGAGTGGGGTGGGCCCGCCCTCCCTCTCGAATTACTCTCACACGGCCGCGCGTATACAGCCTCTGTCAGGGAAGTCCTACTCACTGCCTTCTCGTGGCATTACTGTTGTTTACGAAATTGAGAGGACGAAAACCGAATGTACGGCGCTTTAACCGGATTCCAAACCAATAGTGCACATGGGCACCAGTATCCTGTGGGAACAAATGGCGTATGAACCAATTTTCGGTCACCGGCTACCATGGGACTGCATCTCCTTACGATGCTCCACTGCCTTGTGGGTTAGACCTTTAGGTCAAAGGCTCGGGGTGTGGCCCTCTAAGATAACCACCTGCTTCGATCTGGGCACCCGGGCAGTAACGCAGCCCACACGCAATTAATGAACTGAAATTGTGTGGCGCATATATGTTTGGCGCACTCCTGTACCAATATATATGTGTTCAAATAAAATAATAAAATAAAATGTTGCACGGATTACGGTTATACAAACAATTCAATGGTAAAATCTTGTAAGTGATAAAAACGGAGAACATCTTCAACAAAACTACTCAAAATTTCAAATACTCGATCACAACCTGTTATAAATCTCTTTTCTTACGGTTATGACCCAGCTACTCCTATTGCTTAGTATTCTCGGACACCGATTCACTCGACAAGACCCCAAATCAAAACACGGTTGAACAGGAAGAGATTATATTCCAAATAACAAGGTTAGATGGAAGTAAGAAGCAAGTCAGAAGCACAATAGGGAAAACGTCAGTATATTTATAGTTTTTACATAAGATTTCCAGAGTATTCTCCAACTATCGACTAGTGCTGATTGGATAAGAATTAGCCAATCAGCGTGCACCAAAGCAATCATGCATTGAGCATGCTTTAATCCAGTCTATGTCCCGCTAAAACAACCACAAAGAAACTCATGACCTACGGGTCTTGAGGTGAAAAAAGCAAACACTGTTATAATTCTGTGATCTACGGTTCGGTCATTCAATTATAATCACCGTTAGGTATTATTTTTAACATGGAATGATATCCGATAGGAAATCAAGGATAAGCACAAAACGATAAATAGTAGTTTATTCCAGTCTTAGCGACGATTATGAAAGTGAATTTTTAACCACTTTGGCTAATAAAGTCAGCACATTCAAACCGTACAACTAGATAACATTCAAGCTACCACGCTTTAAAAGTCAGTAAAACTATATACATTTTTTAAAAAAAATATAGTATTTTAAGTTGACTGAAAAAACTGACTGAAGTGTAAAAGATTAGAGGGGTGACAGGTATATTTCGTTTAGCCGCTAAACTATGGTATAAGCTCTACTGGAGCACTGGTTCGAACCCGTTACCTGAAGTCAAGATTAGCAATCCAATAGTATCATTAACCCATACAAAAACTGGTTAAAGGCCGAGTATATGAACCTGTTACTTCGTTATTGAAACAAAAAGCCATTCCACTCAAACTAAATAAGAAAAAATATGACAACTTAAGTTCGTCTAAAAATCATAAAAATGTATGGTTTTGAAAAAGTAATTGGGTTAACTCACACATAGAAATATAGCAGTATATATTGCAATTGAGGTATGTCCAGATGGGAAAGATTTTCTATACATATAAAATTGGAATGAAATGAACAAAAAAGAATGTAAGATAGAACTGATGATAAAAAGTTGATTACAATTATTAGATAGCACCTACATAAACCCGTACGCATCGTGTAAAGACAATAAAAAGTCAGTATCATACTGCTAATCATTATTACAATTTTCCAGTTGAAGTTGTTTATTTAGTCAATACCTCCAATTTGAAATGTATATAATTAAAAGGCATTAAAGTTCATGAAGAGACCAGTGATTTTTATGTCTCACAGTAACAGAACTGAGCTGAGTAGATATTGTTGTTGAGCAGACTAGATAAACTGAACACTTTTTATGTCACTGAAGCTCTCCGTGAAATCACTATGTCTGAGCAGTGTAAGTAGGTCTAGACTATGTTATTAGAATTTGAGGGATAAGCGATATTAGTGGGTAGGAAAATACCGGAAGACTATCTTTCAAAAGAACGGCTACCCAATCAAGTTGATCAAAAAATACCAGCCAAACGCATCAGCAGAAACAAAGTCAAGTACAGAAACCAACAAAAGGATCATCATTCCATATATAAAAGGCATATGAGAAACTACAACGAGATTGTTGAAGCCTTTTGGAATAGGTGTAGCACACAAACCAACAAAATCACTTCAGTCAATCTTATGCAAACCATGGGACGAAATGATAAAGGAAGAGAGACCGAACATCAACCACAAAATAAATTGTTCCGACTGAGGAAAGTACTACATTGAACAAAGCGGACGCGCTCTTCATCTTTGCCTGCATTAACTTATACCAATGCATGTGGACAACTGTGGACAAGCATTGGAATGGAAAGACGTTGAGATCTTGGATAGAGGAAGTTCTAAAAACACCCGAGAATTTTTAGAAGCTTGACATTCAGATCAGTCAGTAATCAACAAACACATTGAAATCGATCCAATTTATCAACCAATCAGAAAGATTATGGACAAATATAAAACCAAAAATCAAATCAATGGGAGATACAACCAATATAAAGAAGTAAACAATGACAGGTTAAAGGTCAACAATAACCAATCAACATCGAGGTCTATAGGACAAGTTGTGAGCCATATGTGAGGAAATTCGAACACTTTAACTTCTACCCGAAGTTTGTGCTGATGGTGTCGTTCAGAATAACGACGAAAACCCCAAGACCACACCGTCCAGCTCAGAACAAAACTCCATCAAAAACTATATTTAACCCTTTTGCCATTATCGATTGTACTATTATTTTGATTTTCACGGTTAACAAGAGATAAACTGATCATAATTTTGAATTTCGGTCTCAGTACTCATATTAGCTTTAAGGTTTGAGTAGGGAAAAGTCTATAGTTTATGCGGAAGTAGATTCAGGAAGGTAATACTGAGTTTGCACATACTTCTGCTGTATACAGCACATCAATAATTATTTACCGATACTGAGCCATGTTGGTAGATGCAGACTACTTGGTTGGGGTCCGCGTGACTATCGTAACCAATGGTTGGAGACTCTTGGTGACATGGTTCAGAATCGATCACAATGGCGTCGGTGTATACACTCCCTGTCTTCCATCAAACTAAGAGATTAAAATCACTTCATATCTTTCTTTCTACGAACCAATTCTTTCTTCTTGTACTATATCACTATATGCAATCTTTGTCTTATATATTACCACCTTTGACCTAACCACTGCTATGAATCCAGTGTTCATCTTGTTGTGCTGATGCGGTATGGCAACCTGGACCGATGCACATATGTGCCTGGTCCTACGTTGTAGCTGACTGACTGACTGACCGATACTGAATTACTTAGAAATTAAGAAAATAATCAGCCTTTCACAGTTCATCGGTAAATGAAGAACGTTCACGTTGAATTAACGTCTTAGATGGAATCTTAAAAACAGTTAATGGCTCAAAAGCTTGTTAGAGATGCTACATACTTTAATGTAGGACCCATTGTCTATTGTGTTTTAAAAGATATCATAACTAAATGTTTTAAAGAAGATTCAGAAAGTATGCAGACGTAAAAACCGAACATGGATTACAAATTTGAATGTTTTTATCCTTTTAGTTGAAGAGTTAAATAGGCTTAAGACCGCATAGAATGAAAAACATCATGTAAGATTGTTACAATGTCTAAACATCAGGAGAGAGTTCCAATAACTTTAGAACGTTTAACAAATAAGTTCGACGCATTTAAACGTGACTGAACAAATGCATGGACACCATCAACATCGATTCCAACACAGGTGTGCGCTAGTCCATGTCAAAATACCGTATTAGCATGACAAGATGACAATAAGAAAATAGAGAAATAATATAGTAGTATTACTGAGAAGATTAAGAATTGGGAATATAATTTGAAAAGGCATGGCTGGAGAGACATTTGAGTTTAATGGCGAGAATTAAGTAAAGATTTAATGTATCTACACCATAACTTCGTCCCATGTTACCCAAAGCCTCCGAACATTGAGCGCGATTATTATACATACCCCAACCAAGTAATTTGCATCCACCAACAATGAGTGACTTTATGGACTGATATGATTTTTAGGTCTGGTCACCTCCAGATTTTTTCCGACTTACTTCAGCATTAGAAAGCATCGCTTGTCGAGGTTGCCGGTGATTGCATTACTATCAAAAAGCTTTGATATATTGTCGTAAATATTGTAAAACATTTTTAACACACACTGAAAGATTATTTTAAGACCTCCCTTGAAAAACTATTCGAGTTAAACAAGTTGTTGAAGTAGTCCCATCCGAATAAATTCAAGATAAAAAGTACAGCGGATAAACATATTTTGCTAATATCAAGTGTTATGTAGTAGCGTACTATAGCACGGCACAGCTCGATTACATAATCCTAACTTTCTATTAACTGAGTAGTTAAACACGTCCGTTTACCAAACATAGATTCACGTTTATTGTGAATGCTGATAAGCATTTCCCGATTGATAAATTGAATGAGGCAAAATATCAAAGCTGATTTATCACTTGAAGGACCACAGGAACCTTACCAAGTGAAAGTTGAACTAATCAGTAAAAGATAAAGCTCTGTATTCCGAAAAATCTATGGATTATGAAAGCGTTACTTTCACAGAACAAGAAATGTTTCTATGGATCGAAAATTCGAAATCTACCATAAAAACAATAGTATCATAGCCATCTTGTCAACAAAAACTGGTTATTACCTCAGGCCACTTGATTTGTCTGATGAACAAGTAAAATTACCAACAAAACCCAAGATCGTAGTTTGAAGGTCAGAAGGTTTGCATGCATCAAGAAAATTTGGACGGAGACGACCAAATGAAACTTTACCTACATCCGTAAGACCGATAGTAGCAAAGTAGCCAAAACAAGCAACAATAAGAGAATCATAAATTGGATACAAAACCTACAAAGTTAAAAATTTCATGATTTCTAATCCGATAAACAAACCACCGGTATTCTATGATGAGTTTTTCTTAAAGATTTTGCACTAACAATTACTTCACCGACAACTATCTGAAAGCAAATTAATATGAAATTCTGAGAGTAGGACGGAAATACCGTAATCAGTATTAGTAGTGAGGAAACTACATAAAGGACAGTACTTGAGATAGTGTTCTGTCTAAATGGTTTTTTGATTGATTCATCTTGAACAAAGTATCCTCTTTTGTACGGATCAACATTCTGCAGAACGGTATTGGTGACTATCACTATAAATTGAGAACGGTTTGTGTGTGAAATAAACTGAAATTACAAGCAACAATAAAACCCAAATCCGATCCCACTCTAATTATACCGTCAATCAAGGGTTTCATAATAAACGATACCAAATAACAGTAGGATCTCAACACACTAATGCTTTTGAAAATAAAAAAAAATGCACCAGCGTTATTGAAGAACAACATAAAACAAGGAGGAAAAAGCATTTTAAATAATTTTGTAAAGCAAGAAATGAATATGCCATCTTTTACCAGTTTTCAGTAGTTAACATCTAGAAATTTACTAAACAGTAAAGCAATTTTACTTGACAAAGAAATTTTTTTCAAGTGAACGAGCATTACCAGGACTGGATGGTACCTTCAAGAACATACTGAGTCTTCAAGTAACTAATAATTTTAGGAAACAATATAGGCCTCTTAGTTTATCCACATTTATTGTAACTGAAGATTAGCCTTATCAATAAGGGAAAATATGATAGCCAATCTCAATACTGTTATATCTTGTACTCAACCATATATGGTGATTCTCCGTTATCCTAAACATACATTTAGCATCAATATATCAACCAAACCCAGTTTGCTTGATTAAACTTAAATATCAACCAGTAGACGTACGTCATTAAGTAAAATAGGTGGGTAAAAAAATACCTCGATCTCCACATTTTCGGGAAAATTTTGTTTGTTTGGGGTAAATTTTGGGGAAACCGAAATAGAAAACTTTGAGGAAACAACACAAAAACCCCAGCATTTCCCCAGGTCTGGGGAAAATCCACAAATGTTTGCGGAAATTTAGGGTTTTCCCTAATATTTGCGCAGAATCTTATAACACTTTGGGGAAAACTACCATATTTCTTACGACTTTGAGGAAAACCCCGAAATTTACCCAAAATAATGAAATTGAAATGCATGAAATTCATGTTGAAACTGCAGATGATTGAATGAAACAACATGTCGTATTCAGTCACACGATGAGAAATTCATGTCATTCTATATATGTAAGACATACATAATTAGGAACTCCAGTCAACAAAACACAAATATCACGATAAATGTGACATCCTCAAACCCTGCGCGTTGCCGTAGAGAGAATTAAACAGACATAAAATCACTATAACAAGTGAAATATGATTGATTTATTAGAGAAGGGCTAAAAGTCATCGAAATACAGTGAAATATGTAGTAAATCTTCCTAAAGGATAAATCAATATAAAATCTAGTATTTTTGTCACAAGCTTGTATAAATCTATTGATTTCTTGGCTCTCGCTTCTTTTTGTTCTTGTACAGTTCCGGGTATTCCATAATGACCAACAGGTAATATTCCAGTCATTTGACCTTTCGTTTTTAAATCCCCTATAGCATGACATACTTGTTGTCGTTCGTGAATACACCGATGCACATATATGCATCTTGTTCTCAATTGCCTGGTGTTATGATAACAGGTCTTTATTATACTTACTATCTGCGTTTACAGATCTCAGTGATATATTCATTATATGCTTTATCTGGATGTATATCTCGAACTATGACAATTGTGATTGGGATTATTAATCACTTATAAATATGGATTACTAGACCAAAACAAACACAAACATGCCAACTACTGACAATCTGAGTGACATCCTGTATATTTTTCTTGGATATATAATTTATATTTGATATATTGTCGTATTAATTTTTGACGTTGTAGCTTTTTCGTTATTTTTGGAATTGATATATTTTTGGTCCACCACAGAAGTAGAGTTTCTGGATACCAGCAGCTGTCACATTACAGACAAGAGGTTGGCTGATTGCAGTATAAAAATAATAGTGATAATCCGCGCACTAAGAGAACACGATTGTTTAAAGAGTAAATAAATAAGTGGCTTAACTGATAATGTCCAAGAACATTAAAATGATTGGTTACGCGAGTCACGGAGATGATAATAAGATAAATGGGAAGTAGTTACTAGTTGTGCAGTAATAATAACTGTGTTAATTTATGAGACATGCATCAGACACTGATGGTACAAAAGGGACATGGTAATCCACAGGTGAGTACTTGTTCGTCAAGTCACCTCTTCAAAATATCCATTGAGGGGATGTGGTCAATTTCTGCTGGAATAGCACTCCAGATGAGTCAACTCGTAACGAGAAATTTGAGAGCGTACTTGGGCGTCCGCTCTTTGATGTGTAATCTTTTCGGGAGCGGCTTTGAAGAATGGGGTATTTATGTTCTGACGACATGCTCGCGTGGGGGTGTTCCGGTGTGCTCAATGTGTGTGTGTGTCATTACCAGACCATTTCTCATTCTCCTGTAGCTCAGTGAGAATAATCTCAGTATATGTAGTCTGTCCTCGTAAGATTTATGTTCTAGCCCTATTACCCATTTGGTTGCCTGCCTTTGTACTTGGTCCAAGAGATTTATCTCTTCTTCAAGCAAGGGGAGCATAGCGACCTCATGGACTTCAAGGTGGGGCCATGAGTACGCTTTAAATAGTACCAGGAAAAACTCTGAGGAGATTGCGTTAAGTCACGAAATCGCAAAGTGGAGAGTTGTGTTTGTCTTGACTGTATCCTCAATTTAGTTTGAACTGATTTCTAAGCTCTCCGCGGTTACAAGCCCGAGAACATGCTCTGGGAAGATAATTGGGAGTGGATTCCCATGGAGAGCGTAAGTGCTATGTGTCGAATGAGGCAGAATGTTCATGACAGGACATTTCGACAGATCAAGTTTTGACCTGTTTTTTACTGCTTATTCCCCTGTTGTCGTAACATTTTTTTCAAGCTCCTGTGAGTCTCATCCGCTTTCCATGAATCGCCATATTTTTGCGTCATTTGCATAGATCAGTGCTAACAAGGTTATCTTTACTTGCAGGTCGATAATACAGATTTAGAACAGGAGTGAACCTATCATCCCTTATAAAACTCATGATTGTGAAATTTTCCAACTGGTGTGCATTCTAGTTAGTAGGTCACCTCTAAGACGCCTGGACTCTTGTAGTGGAATTGAGCCGGGTAAAAGTTTAGTGATTGCGGGCGCTCCTCGTAAGACTTGAATCTGGGTCCCCTAGTTGATTTCGTGACTTGCCGCTGAATACGTGCCAGGAGGTCCTTATCCTTTTGGAGTTAGGGAGGAAATACTATATTTCGGTACTCTAACTGGCGACAAACGAAACTGTTCACGACTATGTGGAAAGTTTTTCTGTCGAACTGACCGAAAATGCGCCTCAATGTTATCAGTGCAAGGTTCGCTCGAAAGCATTTTTGTCATAGTTAGCGTAAGACTTCAAATCGTAGGGTACCAGCACTCCTAAATCTTTTTCAGTTTGGGACACTTCTAGAGGGAAGTCGCCTTAGTTCTAACTTTAGTCTGAGATATGCCATAGATGGACTACTTTATACTTTGAAGTGTTAGAGGTAAGTCCTTTGTCATATGTTAGTAGGACGTTGGTTGAATGTTAAGCGATTAACCATAAAGATAACAGAAAAAACCCAGCGTTTTAAAGTTCTATCAAGTCGCGTTGAAATAGATACCTCTGACAAGTGATTGAGTTCCTCAGACGAGGGGTTTGCCGCAAGAGTAATAAAAACATATACGAAGACTATGGTGGGGTTCGTGGTGAATTTCACAGGTCCTTTAGATAGTTTCCAAATCCGCATTGCATGTAAATAAACCGAAAACGGAATTAAAATGACTGTCGTATAATGAAGAAGTCGAGTCATAATTTACCGTGTAAAATAATAGCAAATAAAAAGAGTATAGTAAACATTGTTTAAAATGGTAGCCACCATTGTAACCAAAGTTTAGAGGGTTCAGGTAACGTGGCCATTTCGTAAAAGGCTTATGCAAAGAGCTTATTACCTAGCGTTAAGCGATATATTACGTACGACAAGGTGTCTAGTTAGGACATGGACTAAGATTGCTCGTGTACATGCAGTATGCTTTACCACAGTATGCCGAATTACGAGTCATGAATGTACATGATTTCGACCAGAATATATAACTTTTTTACTTGAAGAAACTACGAAATGTTATCAGGCATCACAAACATAGTACGAAATAATCTAAAGCAACTATGAAACTCGCTTGAATTACTCTTGCTTACAAGTGATGAAAATATGGAGCTGGATTATATACGATGTACTGGTGACTTAGTTCTTGGATTAAAATAGCGTTGTAGACTGAATTTGTATAAATCCAAAATTAATTTAAATCAAATACATGGCGTTGTCTGACGAACAGTCTGAACGAGATCTAAGATTGAAGGAAATTTATGGTCCAAATACACCGCAAATTCCTAGCATTCGTATCCTCTGTTTATCCATGAAACTAAGCAACTGCAAATTTCACTAGCCCCACAACATCCTCTTAAACACTTACTTAAGTTAAGCTCCAACACAACCGTAACGGGTTATACCCAGAAACTGGAGACACAACTCAGCAGAACGGACTGTAGACACAACTTCTACTCCTTAAGAGTTGTGAAATGCTGGAATTCGCTGCCGGCTGAGCTAGTTCAAGCGACTTCCCAGTAGTCCTATAAGAGGAAACTTAACATCTTTTTAAAGACTAAGGATGGTATCTTGCTATGATTTACCGATTTCATTCTCCTCTTTTATCGTTAATATACCTAGGTTCCTGCCTGAATGTATTGGTCATCCACTGCTACTAGACACGGAAGCCCGTTAAGCGAAGGCTTCTTCTATACCATCCACAACCATTTGAACCATTCGAAGGTCGAGAAAACGTCAAGGAGGCCGACCTAGACCTTCCTTTTCATTCTTCAGAGATGAGGGGTGTCTCTAGAAATTGTGCTTCATGACCTTGCCACTTGTAACGAAGTCAGTTGTTTTCGTTTGAAGATGGCATAGGTAATCAGTGTTTGACAACGCTACTTGACATAGGAGAAACACGTAGACCAAAGATATTTATATAATACTCGAAGCCAGGTAAGTGCACTGTAATACCGAATATGTGGCGGACTCGTTGGAAAGATACCTGTAGCACGTATTATTAGCGTTTACTTGCAGGCAGGAGCAATCTGAAACACAACACAACAGTCAAGACTGGCAGATGCCACTCAAGTGAGAACACGGCGTTCGAGCACAACAGAGATATATTAGAAAATTGAAATACGCGGTTTTTGTACAAAAAGAGAAGTCTATTACAAAATAGTTTTACTCATCATCCAGCAGGTTTAGTTTGCGCAAGCTTTGTTCTTCTTCTTCTAATACGTTCACTTTCTGTTGTCCTGCAATAAGGAAAACAAACTTGCATTAGTAAAGTTACACGTAATGATTTTTGATACTGTTACACTATCCCCTCTCTTCATGAGGCACTGTCCTCAGTGCCTGGTGCTAGACATGGGTATGCTACCCCTCCTTCTGGTGGCACTTCATAGTGTCTGGCGGCAGTCGGGGGTTTACAAACGGGGTATCTAAGTGCACCGTTGTCTTGTCTGGCTTTAATTGATTGTAGTGTACTGTTATAACATCGTCTTGAGGTCGTTGGAGGTTACGTAAGACGAATGTAGTAGGAGACCGCGTAAACACAACTTCGTAAGGCCCTTGCCAAGGGTGATGGAACTTGCTGCATGTCCCCGGTGGGGCCAAAGGGCGGTGCAGCCACACACGATCTCCGGGTTTATACACAGGTCTGTTCATCTTGCGATCGTACACGTCCTTTTGGTGCTTGCTGGCATTTTGTAGGTTGATCTTCACTAAGCGATAGGCGTCGGCTAGGCGGCTGCGAAGATTACCGATGTATACTACATGATCTTGGACCTCGCATGGTAACAGCGGTATTTGCAGCTCAACGGGTAGGCGCAATTCATGCCCAAAAAAGTAGGGTCGCCGGTGAAAATTCCGTAGATCCGTGCACTGATGAGCGGTAAGCTAACAGACATTGTGGTATCACGTCATCCCAACATTCCGTCGACGACTTATTGATAAACGATTGAAGGAGAGCTTTGATAGTCCTGTTGGTTCTTTCCACTAAGCCGTTACCTTCTGGATGATATGCGGTAGTGTGTGTTTTCCGGATTCCCAATAATCGACATACCTGGGCGACGAGATGACTTTCAAAAGCTGAA